TGTGAATAGAACATTGCCATGATCACAGGATCTTGGCGATAACCCCTGAAGGGGGGTGGAGTGAGCTGCAGAGAGCTGGCTGTGGCCGGCACAGGGCGGGGGGTGCATCAAGGGTGTTGATATTTTAGAGCACCTCAGGTGAGTCCAATGTGCAGCCAAGGTGGAGATCATGGGCGTAGACACACCAATTCTCCCTCTGAGTTATAGCTGGGCCCCTTGGCCTCTGCCAGGAATTCACCCTCACCACTCCATCAGGTCTCTTGACATCCCTGGGGGCTGTGACAGGCATCCTATTGAGGATAGCGGAGCTATGGGTTCCCCAGCAGGCAGCAGATACCAGGACTCAGCCACAGAAGTGCCGGCTTTGTCTTCCAGATGGGCACCAGTACAGCATTTCCAGGGAATTTGCACTGGTCAGTTAACTCACTGTCCCTCCCTCATGTCCCGGATAAAATGGCCAATCCCTTCAACATTCATTCAACAATTATTCGTGAAGTTCCTTCTCTGTTTTGGATGCTGGGGAGGTGGCGAGGACTCTGAGCCACGGGGAGAGCAGTCAGCGCTGTGGGAGCGCAGTGGCCACGCTCTCTCCACTCCTGCCCCCCGGGGCCTGCACAACCCTGGAAGTGCCCTGCTCTTCCAGTCACGCACCTGGGCATGGGCTCACTGGGTGCTTGTATCTTGTCTCACACAAAATGAAGGAAAAGCCAAGCCCAGTCTCTGGTTTGCAGCAAGATGAGAGGATATGGGGATCAGACAAGCATCCGAATACTACAGGGGAGAAGGCGAACACATCCAGGTTCTGCAGACTGAGTGGCAGGTTTACAAGACTGGCTCTAGGTGCTGTTTCTGAAGTGATGGAGGAAGGCTTCCTGGAGGAGGAGAGCTATTGGCAGGGATATGGACAAGGACAGTCTTGTCTCCATCTCCGTAGAGCCTTCCCTTCCTTATTCCCATAATCCCAGATTGCCTCTGAAAAATGAGAATTAATAGCTGCCAAAGACCCAAAGATTTCCTTTCCTAGGAGTTCAGAAAGGAGTTTTCTGTTCTTTTTTTAATTTAATTTTTATTTTTTAGGAGTTTCCTGTTCTTATCCTATTGGCCTGCATAACGGTGGTCACCTAGGCAAATACTGCTGCTTACTCTGCAGGCTGGGGTGTGGGCAATGGTATATTGGAAAATGTTTACCAGCTGGCTCCCCAGGGATCCCAGGGCCAACCTCTGTGGTCCCATGACAACCAACGTCAAGCAACAAATGTGACGTCAGTGGACATGCACGAGCTGCTCTTCAGAGCTGGGGTCGGCGCTTTCCAGCACACTGCTGGGTGGGGCTACTGAAACAGGGTCCTTGAGGACAGGAGCAATAAATGCAACCTTGGCTTTCAAGAATCACACAGCCAAGACAGCCTGGCACAGGGGACTGGTAGGAGCATGACCTGGGAGTTGGCTGCGTCCCAGCCTCTGACCTGCCTTTTGCCCTAGAAGTGTGAATGAGTTCCAGACTTTGGCCAGGGAGTGGACAGCAGGGTGTGTGTGTGTGACAAACAGCTCACGAATGCTTGAGCCATGGTTCTGGTCAGAGGAGGTTTGCAGGACGTCTGAGCCCACACAAGCCACAGCCACCCTGAGTGCCGAGCCCCTTTGACAGACTTAGGCCCTCTGCTACCCCTCTGTCCCGGCTCCTCGTCTCCCACGGGACCGGCGCCTCGATTGCTTCCCCTCTTCTTTGGCCTCCACAGGCCGCATCCTCAGCAGCCCGAGTCACTTTGCAAACGCTAAGAGTATGGAACTCATCCTTGATCTCCCCTGTTCTGCCAAGGCCCCTCCCCAGTTGCCTGCCACCCAGGAGACAAGGTCTAGTCTGCTCAAATCTCTGTTGACTGTGCCCTTGACGCCCCCTTCCCGACGTGCAGCTCCACTGGGTGTTTCTGCTTCATAACCAGCTCCTCCAAGCCACGCTCCAGCTCTCACCATGCCCAGGTCCTTGCTCACTCCCCTTTTATGAGAGCTTTGCACCAGTCAGGTGAATCCCATTTAGAGCCTCTCTGTGGACCCCCAGTAATTCCCGGGACCAGTCTCCCTGCACAGAATATACAGGGTTGATGTCAGTTGTCCCATCCTGGGTTAATGCCATTCATCTTGTCCTAGACTAACACCCCAATCATATTCATCCCAACTTAGCCAAGCTTTGTCCACTTTCCTGGGCTTTTCTGAATATGAAGGGTCTTCAAAAAGTTTATGAAAAATTCATATAATGAAAAAGTTACACATGGATTTCCAGATGTGTGTTTGCACCAAAAAAATCTTAATTTCTTTTTCACTTATATGAATGACAGAGTGACAGAGAGTGAGGGGGAGGGAGAGAGAGAGAGAGAGAGAGAGAGAGAGATATTTTCCATATGCTGAATCAATCTCCAAATGGCCACAGTGGTGGGGGCGCTGGTCCAGGCTGAAACCAGAAGCCCAGAATTCTGTCTGAGTCTCTCATATGGATGGCACGGGCCCTAGCACTTGGGCCATCTTCTGCTGCTTGCCCAGGTGCAATGGCAGGTAGCTGGATCTGAAGTGGAGCAGCTGAGACCTGAACCAGTGTCCACTATGGGATGCTGGTGTTGCAATTGGCAGCTTAACCCGCCGTTTGTAAGGCCATCCCCACAAACTTATCTCTTAGATTCCATCCTGGTTTCAAGAAACAGGAAACACAAATTAAACTGAATTTAAGCAACAAAGGGGATTCATTGGCTCATGTAATTAAAATATGCAGAGGTAATCCAAGTTTCAGGTGAGGCTTGATCCAAGAGTTCCAACCACGTGACTGATTTTCAGATTCTCTGCGGATTTCTTAGTTCTTCCCACATTGATGGCTCATGTTTTCAGGATTGAATTAATATCAAAGAGAGAGTCTGTCTCCATATAGCTTACTTTACATTCGGAAATTGAGTTTCAGTAGCCCAGCTGGGGCTGGCTTTGGTCGTGTCTGTCCTTGAGGCAATCAACTGTCATGGGCAAGGTGAAGGCAGACCGTCTTAGGCACGGTGCCAAGGTGGCTGAGGGCACGGGTAGGTAGCGCTAGGGTCAGGACCTGGGAGTTGCCTGTTGCTCTGACCATGGAAGTAGGAGTGGCTGCCAGATTTCATCCAGGAAGTGCACAGTAGGGAGTGACAGATAGATCGTAAATACTGAGTGCTGTCTTCAACAAACAGGCCTGTGCTGGAGTTGGGGGGGGGGCAATGCCAGTGCTCCCCGAATTCAGCAAATTCATGCTTGCAGTGGATGACAGAAGCAGTAACCTGATGCTGGGGAGACATTCAACCAGTGTCCACACTACCCACAAGCACTGTCTGGACTAGTCCTGGTCACTGCCCGGGTGGCTCCTGGATCAAGTGGGAGCTCCTTCTGGCTCTCCTCCAAACACTCCCTAGCCAGGCCAGAGTCAGGCTGATAAACGAATCGGCCATAAATCATGCAAGTCGGCTGATGGCATATCGTGTTTCCTCATTCTCCCACCCTGGGGCCTTGCAGTGAAATGGGATACCCAGGGTCTCCAGCCAGTGAGACGAGGTTGAACTCCGCATTTCAGGGAGGGTGCCGAGCCCTGGGGAAGACACTCCTTTCACTGTGCTTCTTCTTGCCGTCTGCCTAGGGGCAGGCCCGCATGATGTCCCCTCGGTGGAGGCAGGGGCTTGGTCTGCCCGGAAGGCTAGGGAGGCCATGTCTGTGAGTCAGCACCTGCAGCGGGGGTTCCAGGTTCCGCTGCTGCCTCCCGCTGGACTCAGCGTCTGCTCTTTCCTCCTGGCTGCGGGCTTATGCCTGCCCGGGGACTCACCCCGGCTCCCATGGCAGCGCGCCTTTGGGTACGCTGGGCGGATGGGAGACTCCAGCAAGAGATTGGAGGTGGGAGGGGAGAGGGTTTGGGACAGTTTTTCTCTACTCCTTCCCTGTTCTGATTTAACTTCACAGCTGTCTTCCCATCGAGACCTCTTGCCCAGGCTCTGGGAACAGCATTTCCGCCCTATTCCTGCAGTCTAGGGGTGTCGCTGGGGCTCCTGCCCTCACAGGCTCTGGAGGCTACATCATCCCGTGTGCAAATCTTTCACTCTGCCATCTCCTTCCAAGGGAGCCTCACGTCCAGGAAACACGTGGGGTGAATTCCATTTCCTGCAGCGCACGGCCCGAGATGGTACAGGAGTGGGAAACAGCAGTCTCTCCCTGGGGCATGGGGCTGGGCCAAACTCGTCCTTCAGCAGAACCCTGGGCTGGGGCGTTTGAGCTGCTGCTTCCTTGCTGTGCAGTGTTAGACTCGTCCCGATCCCTCTCTGGATCTAAGTGGCCTTACTCACCCAGGAGGGATTGGACCTGCGGGTCTCCCCTCATCACCCTAAAAGTAATGTTTTAATTTCCTAAATTTCAACTAGGTATTCTGCTTTCAAGGGGTGCAGCTGGGTCTTTGCTTACCCGAGATCTTCCTTCCGGGGCTTAGACCCTCGCCTCTGGAGATGCCTCCCAAAGAAGGAATCAGAACTTCATGAGGCTGGCATGGGGCAAGCCCTCCCTGAAGGCCACATGGAAGGGGACAGTGGGAACTTTCTTGTGATAAAGCATGGGCAAGTTGCACCTCCATTTTATTATCTGAGAAATGGGTATTCAGAATGAGTACCTATGATCTCCTGTTGTCCCGGTTAAATGGGTTAATGTGTAAAAAATGCCTGTAGGGAAAGGCAGCAGCTATCATGCTGAAAATTACACCAAGAGTTGCCCCCTACGGGCTCCCCCAAGGAATCAAGGTGGGGTGCCCACGCCTAGCATGCTTTTAACTGAGTTTTGGGAAAAGTCAGCCAAGTTCTCACCTCTGTTGCCGGTGATTTTTGGGGTTGCTGTCTCCTCCCTGTGGCACTCAGCCCGGGCTGGGCTGCTGCTGGCTGCAGGGCGTGGCGAGGGGTGGGAGCTGGCGGGGCGCCTGGGTTCAGAGTATAAGAGAAGCCAGGGACAGCGGGAGACAAGCTGGAGTCTCGGCGGCTGCCGCTCCAGCCACGATGCTCGGCTTCCTCTCCCGCCTGGGCCTGTGGGCTTCCGGACTGATCTTGATCCTAGGCTTCCTCAAGCTCCTCCGCCTGCTGCTTCGAAGGCAGAGGTTGGCCCGGGCCATGGACAGCTTCCCAGGGCCACCCACTCACTGGCTGTTTGGGCACGCCCTCGAGGTACACAGCTGGGGTGAGGGGGTGAGGAGAAAGGAAATGGCTTTCTCACCTTCAAAGAATCCAGCTTGTCCCCCGGGGGCTGTGGAGGGAGACCCTCAGCCTGGGCAGTGGTGCTGACCTGGGGGTCACCGTTCCCATCTGGCCTTGCTGCCAGGATCTCTGTCTGTCTCAGTCCTGCCTTAAGCTGGCTTCAGAAGGTGGGAGGTACGGCGGGGGCTTCAACACAGGGACCCAAGTAGGCCACAGACCCCTTCCCATCACTCTGAGGCCCGAAGTTCAGACAAGGCTCTGCTAAAGCTCGGTGATGGCCTAGGGGAGGCGCGCAAGCCCCTCATGGAAGCTGCCAGTCGCGTCTGGAGCTCAGCAGCAGTGTTCTCTCTGCTCTGTGTGGTGCGGAGATGTCCATTTCTTCCTTTATTTTTAAAATGTTACCTGTCTTAAAAAATTTTTGTTTGAAAGGCAGAGTTAGAGAGAGGGAAAGGCAGAGAGAGAGAGAGAGAGAGATTGATTTTCCGTCTGTTGTTTCACTCCCCAAATGGCTGCGACAGCCAGGGCTGGGTCAGGCTGAGGCCAGGAGTCAGGAGCCAGGAGCTTTTTCCTGGTCTCCCACATGCGTGGCAGGGGCCCAAGCACTTGAGCCACCTTCTGCCGCTTTCCCAGGTGCATTAACAGGCCGCTGGATCAGAAGTGGAGCAGCCGGGACTCAACCTGGCACTCATATAGGATGTCAGTACTGCAGGCAGTGGCTTAACCCATGGCACCACAGCGCTGGCCCCAGAGATGCCCATTTCTTTTTTTTTATACTTTTTTTTTGACAGGCAGAGTGGACAGTGAGAGAAAGAGACAGAGAGAAAGGTCTTCCTTTTGCCATTGGTTCACTCTCCAATGGCCACTGTGGCCGGCGCACTGCGGCCAGCGCACCACGCTGATCCGAAGCCAGGAGCCAGGTGCTTCTCCTGGTCTCCCATGTGGGTGCAGGGCCCAAGAACTTGGGCCATCCTCCACTGCAGTCCCGGGCCACAGCAGAGAGCTGGACTGGAAGAGGGGCAGCCGGGACAGGACTGGTGCCCCGACCAGGACTAGAACCTGGTGTGCTGGTGCCGCTAGGTGGAGGATTAGCCTATTGACCTGCAGCGCTGGCCGATGCCTCTTTCTTCCTTCCTTCCTTCCTTCCTTCCTTCCTTCCTTCCTTCCTTCCTTCCTTCCTTCCTTCCTTCCTTCCTTCCTTCCTTCCTTCCTTCCTTCCTTTCTTTCTTTCTTTCTTTCTTTCTTTCTTTCTTTCTTTCTTTCTTTCTTTCTTTCCAGGCAGAGTGGATAGTGAAAGAGAGAGACAGAGAGAAAGGTCTTCCTTTTGCTGTTGGTTCACCCTCCAATGGCCACTGTGGCTGGCGTGCTGCGGCCAGCACACTGCGCTGATCCGAAGCCAGGAGCCAGGTGCTTCTCCTGGTCTCCCATGGGGTGCAGGGCCCAAGCACTTGGGCCATCCTCCACTGCCTTCCCGGGCCACAGCAGAGAGCTGGCCTGGAAGAGGGGCAACTGGGAAAGAATCCAGCGCCCCGACCGGGACTAGAACCCGGTGTGCCAGCGCCGCTAGGTGGAGGATTAGCCTATGGACCTGCAGGCTGTGGAGGTTCTAATCTGCCAGATTGGTATCGGGAGTGTGAGTTGAAAACTTCCCCAAGTGTTTTGATCTGCAGCCAGGTTTGGGAATGCAGCTATAGAGGCTGGAGATCCAGGCTCAGAGAGAGGCAAGGTTCCTTTCCCTACCTCCTGAATGCGCCTTGCTCATTCCAAGGCCTGTGCTATTGCCTCTTTTCCTTGATTGACACTGTAAATGACCTTGACCTCCTGGCTTTTACAGACAGCCCTGTTCCTAGTGACCTGTGTGCATCCTGGGGACATCTAGAAGAGACAGGCTGGGTGGGGAGGAGCGAGACCCTGTCCAGGCTCTTAGGGAGCTTGCTCTGTCTAGGGAAACGCAGACACTGGAGCCTCGCCTGCTGCGTTCCCAGGATCCCCTGTCAGCCCCGTCCTTCTCATCTCAGCTCTTGGCCATCTTCTCTGCTGGCCGGTGGGCCCTGGAGGATGGGGATCTGGTCTGATTCATCTCTGTGCCCTCAGGGTCCAGTGCAAAGCCTGGCACAGAAGAGGCACTGGGGATAAACCAACAGTGAGTGCCAGGGGAGGGGCGCCCAGACGGAGGCGGTGAGGGTGAAGATCAGTGAGGGTACCGGGGGCTTGGGGAGAAGCTTGGCCAAGGAAGGAAGGCGGGTCATGGGGAGGTTGAGTCTGACCCCACCGGGGAAGAAGAGAAGATGGCCAAGAGCTGAGATGGACGGAACCGCATGCTCCGCCCTTTCCTCTCAGGCCCCCTCCACTCCTCCACTCCCGCCTGCCTCTAGCAAAGTGGGCTTTGCCCTCCATCAGGGAACCTCGCTAGGACAGGGACTTTCGCTTCTCTACCTGCAAGTCAGATCTGCTCTCCTCTCCCGAATCTCTGCCAGCTGCCCTGCCCCCTCCCCTGGAGAACACGTGGAGGGCATGGGTCAGAGCTGAGCCCTGGCTTCTTGGCTCTGCCACAGCAATCGGGAAGGTGGGCAGGGGCTGGCGGGGGGCTGCTCTGCTCCTGGGCACTACAAAGTTTCCTGGGAACCATTGCAGAAAGTGCCCCTTCGCATTCCCCCGGCGCTTGGCACCTCTTGGTTGGTTCCACACCTGAACTTGGAAGCTGGGGAGGGTGGGGTGGGGATTCGTTTCCCCAGTGTGAAGATGAGGAAACATTGGCACAGAGGGTGCAAGCTGTTCGCCTAAGACTGTGCTTGAGCTCAGGGTTTGAGTCATGGCTGAGTCCAAGACTCCTGCATTTTAATTTTAGGACAGGGTCAGCCCATAAGAAGGAACTACAAACTTGACTCCTACGCCTGGAGGTGACAGGAGTGGAGCGGGAAGGAAGAAGACTGGCTGGAGAAGGGCGTGGGGGCGGGGAGGATCTGTCCATCAGGATTAATTTCTCCCTTCTTGGTCTCCAGTTACAGCTTGGAGGCCCTGGTGGCTTCCACTGTCTTCCTACACAAGTCTCAGAATGTGTCCTGTTCTGCTAGAGACCCCCTCATCCCCCCCTGGGGCCCATGGGGGACGTGGCACACAGGAGGTGCTCGATTTTGGCCTCAAGTTAGGACCCCTAAGTGGGGTCAGTGTGTGTGTGTGTGTGTGTGTGAGTGGGGAACACCAGCTCCCAGGCCAAGGAAAGATGATCTTCTGAGATTGCTGGCGCCTCTCTTCCCTGTTCCCACCCATTGCTGGAACATTCCCCGTGACCGCGTGTTGTGTAATGCACAATTAATTCAGCAAACATTGATCGTGGGCCTTTGCTCTGCCCTCCTGGGTGAGTTTCTCCACTCTCTGTGCTTTCGTTTGCTTGCTGGTAACACAGAGGTCATCTTCTGTACCTTGTTGCCTTAGAAAGGGGTCAGAAGCCATCAGGGGTCATTTGCCAACTGCTGGGCACATGGATGGCAGATGTTAGATGACGGTGGAGGGGATTCTTCGAAACACCCTGAGCCACTTACCTCCTTCACCCTCTTCCTTTTGTCTAACCCACCAAGTCTTAGGTCCCTCTTTGCCCAGCTTTGGCCCTGTGCTGAGACCAGAAGATGAGGAACTGAGAGACGGGGTGTGCGTGGACTGAAGCAGGTCTGTCGGAGAGCCAGATAAGGCAGCGCGTGTGTGACACATCCCCGGGCCTTGGGGCCCTATCAGCCTGGAAGGCAGGGAAGGTTGAGGGAGGTGATATTGAGGACAATCCTGAAAAATCTGGAAGGAGCTGCCTGTGGACGTGCAGAGGAAAAGGCATTTCCTTGGGCGAGGCCCAGAGCCTGGAAAGACCGCCTTGTGCTTGGGGAGTCAGCTTTATCTTGGAGCCCCCCCGCCACGCTTGCCTGGGGAGCTCCCACTTTTGGAGTGGTGGGAAGGTGGATAGGGGCGCGAGGATGAGGCGGAGGTGAGTGGGTCTGGCCACATAGATCCCAGGAAGCCACACCGGAAGGCCTTTCTTTATTCCCAGGGCAACCCTTGAGAGGACTGAAGCAAGGGAGCGGTGAGGTCAGACTTGTGTTTGAGAAAAGTCACACTGACTTCTGGGTATGGAATAGGTGGCTGGAGGATGCAGGCAGGCACTGGGGAGTGAGCCCCAAGCAAGGCAGAGTGAGCCGGGCCTTGGCGTGGGGGACATGGGAAGAGGGTGTCAAGGCCCTCCCCCCAGTCAGATGAGAGGGTGTCCACGAGGGGCCCCTCATGCACTAGGAAGAGGGGGCCAAGGACTGCCTTGGAGCTTCACTAAACTGAGGCGGCCACACAGCTCCGTCTGGGCAGGATTTGGAAAAGCACCGACAGCCAGAGAGGCTCCTCGAGCCGCGGGATTGCATTGTGAGCAGCAGGAATGCATTTCTAGATCTGGATTTTAAATCCTGGGAGTCTGAGACCCAGAAAGACGAGGCTCAGGGCCTGCAGCCACGCTGTGCTCCCGGGAGCCCGGGTCCTGGGCTTGGAGCTGCTCAGGGCCGCTTCCTCACACGGGAGTGCACGTGGGCCCCGAGGGGCCTGGAGGATGTTCCACGTGGACGCCCAGGGCTTGGGTGGGTTTCCCGGCCTTGGGAGAGCAATAAGCAGGGGCAGGCTGCTCAGGAGGGAGCCACGGATGGCAGAGGAAGCCAGGAGAGTAGGTGAGAGCCCCTGGGAGAAGGTGCAGGGTGTGGAATCCAGAGCCTGGACAGGACGGGAGCCGTGTGATTTTGGACAAGGCCCATCATCACTTCCCAGTCAACTTACGGTGGCCGAGAGTCATGGTCATCTCCATAACTACACACCTAAGGCAGGCTGCTTGTGAAGTGGGGAGGTTTACTTTGGCTCCCCGTATTGGAGGTTCGCAGTACAAGATGGGGTGGCCCCGTTGGTTTGGCCACCAGATGAGGCTGGAGAATGGCCAGGGCACAGTGTGTGCG